AGATGTCCTCAGGACATCCGGCGGAACATCCTCAGGATGTCCTAAGGACTAAAAAGTGGCGCTCGTTTGCTATTCCTCAGGATGTCCTGAGGAAGTCCCGGGATGCCCTCAGGACGTCCTCAGGATATCCGCGAAGTCCGTCCTGGACGTCCTGAGGACGTCCTAAGGACGTCCTTGTGCTATTTGGGTATAGTCGGACCATAGGCAAATAGGTTTAGTTAAAGGTGTGTACTCTACAGGCTTCTTCAGGGTCAAAATCGCCAGATTGGAGGTAAGATAATAGTCAAAATCGGGATGAAGGATGTAGAACGCAACTTTTATATTGACAATTCCATCTCCGTGCAATTTGAACAAGTTATATTGCCCAAAGACCACCTCCAAATTGTTGGGTTGTATATATTTGGGATTTTGTATATCGATCTCCGAAAACACACAGTACGCCACTATAAAACGAAAATATATGTATGAATTACATTTTCTAATTATCCATACTTACCATACGAAAATATCACGTATGCCTTTCTAGTATTACATGTATATGTGATACTCTCGAATTACATTAAACATATTAATTTAGTATGTCAGAAAATAATTATACACGAATTATAAAACATTTATAAGTATTTATAAGTATTTATAAGTATTTATAACAGCAGTGATTAGAATGTGTAGTGTCTGTAGACATTCTGGATGTATACCTGATACTTTATTATGTATATTCCCTGAATATATTTTGGTAAATTGTGAATATCGAAAAATAAGCAATCCTATTTTGTTACTTAATATACATGGAAATAAGAAACTTATTAAAAGGATTCAAGAAAGCAGATGTTAGGAAGATACATTCACAGAGGAATTCACATGGTTCGATATATGGATTATACTAGTAATATTGAACTTTTTCGATTAGCATACCTGTTATTATATGTTTGTTGGTCAAAATTGTTGTAACTGTGGAGGAGGCCGGGTACGTTTAGGAATAAACAGACGGGCTCAGTATTAACGATGTGTATTTCCGTTACGTTCCTTCTGTCCCTACACTCCGACTGCCCTCCCCGTGCAGGTGTCCTCGTCCCTCTCCCGGCTCGCGGGATTACCCCGGGTATCCAACATCTCCCCCCCAAAAAGAAAATTGACAATGGCTACTTGAACGTGGCAGGAAGATTACCCTTTTTTTAAAAAAAAAGAAACATAATAATAATGAGAAGCTGGAATTGAAATTAGTGTGAAGGGACGTAATAATCTGGCGGGACTCCTTTATTTGCACGGGCTGAGCGACGTGGGCCCGTCTCAGTTTCTTGGATGTCGCAGCATGGAGCTTCGACTGCATCCTCAAAGTTGTCTTCATCTGATTCTTGTTCCGATTCTGGGTGAACTTCTGGTTCAGCGGCTCGCTGCATCGGGATGGGAAGATCGAAGTCATCGAGCAGCGTGATGGTTCTGTCGTCCAAGTAGGTGAAACGTTTTTTCAGATGGTTCGCATGTGCCTTGATTTTGCGTTCGCCCGTTGGTGTTTGGACGAGAACGATGTAGCTGACAGTCCCGCAACGTTTGGTAATTGTTCCTGGGGTCCACTTCCAACTGTTATTGGAAAAAATTTTGACGAACACATCTTCTCCGGTCTCAAACTCTTTCCATTTAGCACCGTGGCGCTCGTCAAACTGCTGCTCCATTTTCGTGTTCCGCTCTTTCGAAGGCTCGTTACGTGGCTTCAGTAGATCCAACCTTGTTCTCATTTCGCGGCCGGTCATCAGCTGAAACGGCGACTTCATTCCAAGCGCAAATGATGGCGTGTAACGGTAGCAACATAGGAATCTCCGAAGGACTCTGTCGGCATTTCCCTCGCCATCGAGCTTCCTGAGTCCCGTCTTTAGCGAGTCTACAAACCGCTCGGCCTGGCCGTTTGATTGCGGGTGATACGGCGGCGTTTTGATGTGGTCGATTCCATTCTGTGTGCAGAAGTCTTCAAACTCTCTTGACACGAGTTGCGGGCCATTGTCTGAGACCAGCGTGTCGCAGAGTCCCTGTCGCGCAAATACCTCTTCGAGACATTCCAATGTCTTTGCTGTCGTAATCTTTGTCATTTTAAAAATCTCGGGCCAATTAGTGAGTGCATCGACGATGACAAGATAGTAGAGACCGTTCACCGGGCCGGCGAAGTCGAGGTGAATGCGCGACCATGGGGCCTTCGGAATGGGCCATGACTTCAGCGTGCACTTGTTCGGTGTTTTGGAGTTGACTGCGCATTCCTTACAGTTCTTGATGGCTCTCTCAATGTCGTCGTCAATGCCCGGCCAGTACACTTTGCTGCGAGCAAACAGTTTCGTGCGGGCCATTCCTGGATGTCCAGCATGCAGCTCCTTGAGGACCGTTTGCCGGTAGCGAGCTGGAACAACGACACGATCGCCGAGGAAAACGCAGCCCTTGATGGCAATCAGTGAATCCCGTCTAGGGAAAAACCTCGCGACGGTCGGGTCCTGAATTTGTTTCGCATGCTGCGGCCATCCGTTTTCGACGTATGAGAGCAGTCGCCTCGTCGCGTCGTCCTTATTGGTTTCGGCTTTCATGGCCTCAAATGTGATTGGAAGAGTTTTTGTTGTTTCGATGGCAAAACATTCGGCGCTGGCGTCTTCTTGCCTGATGCTGGCGATGGGGGTTCTTACGCTCGCCGTACCTTCGTTGCTGGTTGTTGTAGCGATGACGACGTCTTCGTCTGCTCGCTCGTGTCTCTCAATAAGCCGCGAGATGAAGTCAGCGTACGCGAAGCTCTTGGTGTTGACGTAGCGTATTTCAAAATCATAGGCAAGCAGGATGAGTGCATATCTCTGCAGGCGGCTGGCCGTGAAAACGGGAATACCTCCCTTCGCTCCGAAGATGGCAAGCAGCGGCTGGTGATCTGTCTGGAGCTCGAACCTGCGCCCATATATGTATCGGTGGAACTTACGTACTGCAAACGTCAGGGCCAGGGCCTCTCGCTGGACTTGCGGATAGTTCTTCTCAGCTTTGCTGAACGATGATGCGGCGTGCATGACCGGTCGACGCGTTCCATCCGGCATTTCATGGAGAAGTACCGCTCCCATACCGTAGCTCGACGCGTCTGCTGCTACGATAATTTTCTTTGACGGGTCGTAGTGCGTGAGTGCCAAATCGGAAGCGAGGACGTTCTTGATCTTCTCGAAAGCCTCCTGATGGACTGACTGCCACTCGAACTTGACGTCGGAGCGGAGCAGCTCGTTCAACGGCCCTCGGAGGTCGTTCAGGTGTGGGATGAACTTTCCATACCATGCGACCGCCCCGAGAAAAGCCTGGAGCTGTTGGATGTCTTCCGGCGGTGGAATGCGCTTCAGCGTTTGGATTCTCTCGGGGTTCGGTCGCAGGCCGTCCGCGTCAACGATGTTGCCGAGAAACTCGAGTTGCTTCTGCGCGAATGAGCATTTCTTGAGTTTAAGGTGAAAGCCGTAGTCCTGGATACGTTGCAGGGCTTCGAAGAGGTTTTTGCGGTGGTCTTTTTCGTCGGTCCCTCCGACGATGAAGTCATCTATAAATGGAAACGCCCCCTCTGCGCCGCTCATCATCGTGTCCATCAGCTGTTGGAACACTCCTGGTGCCGTCTTGACGCCGGGTTGAAGGCGATTCACTTGAAACAGGCCGCAGTGTGTGTTGATTGTTAGCAGTTTTTTCGCATCGTCGTCGAGTTCCACCTGCAAAAACGCGTCCGAAAAATCGATTTTGCTGAAAACACGGTATCGGGACAGTTTCGCGAAGATTTCCTCCGGTGTTGGGAGCGGATATTGGTTCGGCTCGAGAGCGTCATTGAGCCCGGTGGAATAATCGGCGCAGATTCGTGTTCTGCCGTCCTTTTTCTTGACAGCAACGAGTGGCGCGGCGTATTTGGAGTACTCGACGGGGATGATGACGCCCATCAACTGCAACCGCTTCAGCTCGTTGGCGATTTGTTCGGCCGCGGCAAACGGGACTGGGCGTCTGTTACGGAAAACGGCCTGTGATCCCGGCTTCAGGGTGAGTGACGCCTTCATTTTGTTGCAGCAGCCCAACGAATCAGCGAACAGCGGGGGAAATCTCGACTTCACCTCCCTCTCTAAATCCGTCGCGCTGGTGCTGTTGATGGAGTTGCAGATGCTGGCGAACGGTATATTCCACAGGTCGAGTGCAGTCATCCAATCGCTTCCGAGCACGTTAAGATCCGATGCTGCTACGTAACACGGTCCGGAGTTCTCGCGGCCATGCAATTTTAATCGAGCGTTGAATTTACCTAGTATTTTTATTGGGTCATTTGATGCACTCAAGGCTTGTTCCTCACAGTCGCGCAGCTTGGGTGATCCGAGGACCTTCCAGTTACTGGCCGAGATGATCGTCCAATCAGATCCGGAGTCGAGTTGCAGCTTTAACTTGGTATTGCCAATTTCGGGTTCAACGAATTTGCGAGTCACTATAGACATCGCATTCACTACCTTGCTGCTTCGTCGTCCGAAGCGTGGCTTCCGGCCAGCTGACTCGCAGTAGCCATCCTTGTGGCCGGTGCGCTTACATGTGGGGCACTGCTCAGCCAAAAAAGGGCACTTGCTCGCGAAGTGGATCTCGCCGCAGCTCCAGCACGGGAATCGTGCTTTGGCGGCCTCCCCGCTGTGAGCCGCTGGCGTCGTCGTCTCAGCATTTGCTCGCGGTTTGTTACTTTTCGCGTGCTGCTTCCGGTGAATTGCCAGTACATCACTTTGCTTTGCGGTTTCTGGGTTCAACACCATCGATTTCTCAAGCTTCAAGCTGCTTAACCGCATTGCAAAATTGACCGCGTCTTCTAACTTCAGCTTGGGAATCAATTCTCTGGCTGCGACGTCGGCTGCCGCCTCTCGCTGCATCTCCTGGCTCTCCATCTTGTTTAGCAATTTTTCCAGCGTTTGCGATTCTTCTGGCTTGTTGAGGCCCTGCACAAAGATGAGCACTTTGAGATCGTCTGCGGAGCAACTTGCGATATTAAACTTCTCGCACTTGAGATTGACGCGGGCAGCATACTCGGCGTAATCCTCGTGCGGTTCCTTCACGACTTTGAGACATTTGTACCGGAGGGCAAATTGCGATTCTTTCCGGCCGAAAATTCGTTTGAGAACAGTGACCGCATCGTTGAATGGAATGTTGGCCTTAGTGCGAGGGAGGATTGTATTCGCGAACTTGTCAAAATCCGTGGTGGAAAGCTTCTCAGTCAGCAAGCTAACTTTCGCTTGGTCGTCCATCACTGCCGCGTCTATCGTGAAAATTGTCTCATACCTCGCATACCAATGCTCGAATGTTGCGTTGTCCTCTGCGCTGTAAGCGAACTTCTCCATGCGTTCGGCGAGGTCCTTGTGCAGCGAGCAGGCCGGTGCTGCTGGCAGCTGCGCCGCTGGCTGTTGCGCTGCGAGCTGCTGGAGAAGGGCTTCGATTCTTTGATCGGATGCTTTTTGCTGTACTACCATTGCTTCCAGCAGGGCTTGAATCGTCGGGTCGACTTTCGACATTTTGAGGTTATTATATTATACCGCGGCACGGTTAAAGGCACGGGTTAAATATTACTCAATTACTCGAATTACCGCGTGAATTCGATAATCCTCGTCGCCACTGTTGTAACTGTGGAGGAGGCCGGGTACGTTTAGGAATAAACAGACGGGCTCAGTATTAACGATGTGTATTTCCGTTACGTTCCTTCTGTCCCTACACTCCGACTGCCCTCCCCGTGCAGGTGTCCTCGTCCCTCTCCCGGCTCGCGGGATTACCCCGGGTATCCAACAAAAATAGAACCACCACATTGAAATTCGTATGTTGTTATAAAATCCTTCTCTTTTTTACGAATATAGTAGACTGGAACCACCCACGGCCACTGGCCTGGTAATGTGTTCGCCCCGTTGGGAATCTGTCTATTTATGCTATCGGTGTAGTAATCGGTAACACCGCATTCGTCGTTACTATTGTAATTCGGATTATTTATGCGGTAGTTGAATTTCGATGCCATGGCTGAAACTGCAGTAGTGGCTCTTTGTTTGGCGGATACACAATGTGCCCCAACTCGATATTAGCTTTGATATTTTTACCCGACACTGAAATAAAAAGTAACATATATCTTAAATTGCACATTCTCTTAGAGTACAGAAACAAATTTTATTTTCTTCTTACAATAGAAATATTTTCCATACAGAATGTATGATCGCGAAATTGTTTATACGTAAAGATAGAAAATGATGTATACTCGTATGATAAAAAGGATCTTTCATTGTTTTAAAATGAGAGTTTTAGCTTATTGTTTACTTTTGCTACAGTAGTTAAAAATCAGTTGTGGGTAAATATTAACTTTATGCAGCTCGAAAGAATTACAACTCCGATTCTCGCTTCTAGTTCCTCGAGAATATGTAACACTTACATACATATATTATATTTCAAGTAAATACGGTACTTACGTTTGGGACCGAGGCAGTATTGTTGAGTGTTAATCCATATTGCGGATAACGTCGGAAACTTGTCATCCGAGGGAAAATAAACGTGATACACTAAAGATCTGCCTTGTTTAACAGCTTGAATGGACTCGTTTATAGAACGTGCCAATTCCAATCGAAATATCCCTTTCTGGAACACAATGATAATTAAGCTATTGCTAATAAGTGGTTAAATAGCTAAGGATTCTAGATGTAATTAACAAGTAAAGTAAAAGATGAGTTTTGCGAGCATATCGCGTTATGCAGTGCATAAGTTAACATTATAATATTTACTAGGAAGGTACAATATACAGGGTGGACCATTTTAACCTTTAATGGAGAATAACTCGACCGGTAAGCGAAATAATAAAAAATGTTTAAGACAAAGTTGTTTGGTTTCGAGGGGGCCATAAGATGGTACCATTGGTTTGAAGAATTATTTGAAGGTCACATAAAGGTCACAATTTTGTTAAACGGCATTCCCTATTTTTTATTACATATTCTTGTAGCTGACCTCGAGAGCTTTCCAAAACGCTATAATAAAGTATTTTTTATTAAGAACTTTTTGAATTATTAAGGTTTGAAAGTTCCAATATTTTAACATAAATTACAAAATATTTTGTAACACTAGCTTTTGAGCCCGCGCGAAGCGTGAATCAGATTAGATTTTAGATCAATAACAATGAATCCTGTGCCATTGCATAGTCCTTTCTTGGTATTAAAATTCCTTAATAGAATAATTATAGCACTTATTTTTATTTTGAGTCGATGAACTGGCGTTCCACAGGGTGTCACGGATTTTAAAAACTCAGTCGAGAAATTCTTCTCCGAAAAATTTGCAACATTTTGTACCGATTTCACAAAAATCGGACCATAATCTCCTTGTACATGGAGACCTCGAAACTGATTTTGAAATTTTTTTATTTTTTTCGGTATTTTGTCTTTTTTTTCTTCTCTAAGCTATCAATGAGTGCGTTCCGGCAAGACACTGCTACCGTAGCGCTACAGCTTTTTCTCTACAATTGTAGCGGTGCCATATATACATTAGCGTGCATAACCACAAAATTGAATTGTAAGAGTCGCGTTTACCAATTAATTGAAACGAATAGAATGGAAAATATTGAAGATTTGCTCATGAATGACATATTGTTCGATGATTCATCAGATGAAAGCAACGTTAAACAGGAAGAAGTTCCGTTACAGTTGTAGCGGTACGTTTTGCCGAAACGCACTCGTGTAGCGCTACCGTAGCGCTACGGTAGCAGTGTCTTGCCGGAACGCACTCATTTTCACACCACCATGGCTGCGTTCAGAAATCCTACTCGTTGGGTAGAGTAGAGTTGAGTATGGTTGAATGTAAACTCTACCCAGAGTGATATCTAATCAAGCGACTTTCCGAACGTACAAGGTAAAGAACAATGTATATAACAATGGCGGAACAAAGAGTTCGGCGAAATAGAATATTATCTTTTGTAGTAACATGTGATCATAAATTACGACATGTATTGATGAGTGTTATAAATAAAATTGATAATACTGAAAGTGACGATGATAACTTTGAGGAGGCCTTTTTAATCAAAGATATTCGGCGAATCCGAGGGCAACGGCGAAAGCCTGCGCGTATAGCAGGTTATGTTGAAAATGTAATTCCACGTTACACTGGACAACAATTTCGACATCATTTTCGAATGACACCTCAAGTTTTTGAAACCCTAGAAAATCGTCTAGGGCGGTTATTAGATGACGTCGACAGGTTAGGACGTCCAATGACGCCTGTGCGTATACAATTGTTGTCAACAATCTGGCTTCTTGGTACGCCAGATTCTTTTAGGTATGTGACATTACGAAGTTTCAATTTTATATGAGTGTTTGAATGTAAATAATGCCTATAATAAATAAGATTTTTGTTGCAGATCTGTGGGCGAAAAGTTTGACTTAGGCAAGTCTTCTCTAAATGACTGTGTGCGTCGTGTTGTTAAAGCATTAAACAGCATTGCTGATGAAGTCATTAAATGGCCCAAAGGTCCACAATTAGCAGTTTCTAAGGACAAATTCAGTTGTCTCGGTGATGCTCCTTTGCCTGGTATAATCGGAGCTGTTGATGGTTCTTATGTATATATAAAGAAACCAAATCTTCAGGTATTTTTGCTTTTAATACTTGTTTCTGTTCAAATTTTCTCTTCTTTAGTGAAGAAACTATATTGTATGTCTAATTATATTTCATATAGGAAGCTGCTATTCACTACAAGTGTCGAAAATTACAGTATGCTGTAGTTCTTCAAGCAATCTGTGATACAGATTTAATCTTCATAGATTGTTTTACGGGTTACCCAGGATCAGTAGGAGACTACCGAATTTTTCGCAATTCAGACCTGTACAGAGAAGTTCAAAGAGATCTCCCTGCCTTTTTTCCTGATGGGGAATACATTGTTGGTGATAAGGCATATCCTGTTTTGACTTGGTGTATTCCTCCTTTTCGAGATAATGGACGTCTTACACAAGTAAGTCTAGAAAGGCAATAATTTTATGAGACATGTTCTATTATAAATGTTCAGATCAATATTCTTCTGGTTCTTTTATTAATACGATGATTATTTGTTTTAGGGGCAGAAGACTTTTAATAAAGTAATATCTCAAAAACGGCAAGTTATAGAGAGGTCATTCGCTCTTTTAAAGGGGAGATTCAGGCGCTTAAAGTTTCTTGATATGTCTCGTATCGACTTGATACCATTTTTTATTATAGCTGCTTGTACCCTTCACAACGTATGCCTACTAGAAGGCATGTAATGATGATATAGAGGACTTCATAGAAGAAGGAAGAGAGCCACAAGAGGAAGTATATTATGATGAGAGAGAAAATGAAGAGTACCATGTTGGAAGACATGAGTTTACTGATGGTGAAACTAAGCGTAACTATCTGTGTCTTCGAGTTGCTGGAAGACAGTAGCCTATATAAGAAAGAACAATGTAAAAAGTGTAGATAAAAATATAAATTAGTTTAGTATATAAAAAATTATATGTAATGAAAATGTAATGCAAGTAATATAAAGTGTGATAGAAATAAAATAATAGTACAAAATTTATTAAATTAATTTTATTATTTACATTTATATTAATTATTAAATCTTTAATTTTTATTAATACGAAATATCACAGTATCCC